AAAGGCTCACACTAAAGCTCACACTAAAGGCTCGCACTAAAGGCTCACACTAAAGCTCACACTAAAGGCTCACACTAAAGCTCACACTAAAGGCTCACACTAAAGGCTCGCACTAAAGGCTCACACTAAGGCTCGCACTAAAGGCTCCACTAAAGGCTCACACTAAAGGCTCACACTAAAGGCTCGCACTAAAGGCTCACACTAAAGGCTCCACCTAAAGGCTCACACTAAAGGCTCACACTAAGGCTCGCACTAAAGGCTCCACACTAAGGCCCCGCACTAAGGCCCACTAAAGGCTACACTAAGGTCACACTAAAGGCTCGCACTAAAGGCTCACACTAAAGGCTCACACTAAAGGCTCACACTAAAGCTCGCACAAGGCTCACACTAAAGGCTCAACTAAGGCTCACACTAAAGGCTCACACCTAAAGGCTCGCACTAAGGCTCCACTAAAGGCTCACACTAAAGGCTCACACTAAGGCTCGCACTAAGGCTCACACTAAGGCTCACATAAAGGCCACACTAAAGGCTCGCACTAAAGGCTCACACTAAAGGCTCGCACTAAAGGCTCACACTAAGGCTCACACTAAAGGCTCACACTAAAGGCTCACACTAAGGCTCCACTAAAGGCTCACACTAAAGGCTCGCCATAAAGGCTCACACTAAAGGCTCGCACTAAAGGCTCACACTAAAGGCTCACACTAAAGGCTCGCACTAAAGGCTCACCACTAACACTAAAGGCTCACACTAAGGCTCGCACTAAAGCTCACACTAAAGGCTCACACTAAAGGCTCGCACTAAAGGCTCACACTAAAGGCTCACACTAAAGGCTCACACTAAAGGCTCCACTAAAAGGCTCACACTAAAGGCTCACACTAAGGCTCGCACTAAAGGCTCACACTAAGGCTCACACTAAAGGCTCACACTAAAGGCTCACACTAAAGGCTCGCACTAAAGGCTCGCATAAAGGCTCGCACTAAAGGCTCACACTAAAGGCTCGCACTAAGGCTCACACTAAAGGCTCGCACTAAAGGCTCACACTAAAGGCTCACACTAAGGCTCGCACTAAAGGCTCACACTAAAGCTCCACTAAAGGCTCACACTAAAGGCTCAAAACTAAAGGCTCACACTAAAGGCTCGCACTAAAGGCTCACACTAAAGGCTCACACTAAAGGCTCACACTAAAGGCTCACACTAAAGGCTCACACTAAAGGCTCACACTAAAGGCCTCACACTAAAGGCTCACACTAAGGCTCACACTAAAGGCTCACACTAAAGCTACACTAAAGGCTCACACTAAAGGCTCACACTAAAGGCTCGCACTAAAGGCTCACACTAAAGGCTCCACTAAAAGGGTCACACTAAAGGCTCACACTCTCAGTACTGACATGTCTCTAGGCCTACTTTTATTTATTTTTTGTGTAAAACTGTCCCACCCATTGCAAGTCAAAATGTGATTGGTTGATTCCATTGTCACTCCAAAATTCTGCTCTAATACAGTTGAATGGCAGAGGCCTTCTGTCCAGCTTCTGAAAGCCAATAGCTAAGCTAGATAGCTAGATTTATCTTCCCAGAGACCACCAAAGAAAAATCCTGATTGAATATTTTTTTCTCTTCAACGTTAAACAACCCTTTCCTTTCCAACACAAACTGAAGTCATTACATTTGAATATCATTGAAAATAATAATTAATCAGATTACCATTTCAATATTATTGAAAAGATAGAAATTAAATACAAATTATTTTATCATTCCTTAGGCGTTCTCTGTAGGCCTAGAAGGCACTTAAGTTCCCCACTGGATGATGCTCTGTGCTGATTGGTTAGGATGGATGATGCTCTGTGCTGATTGGCTAGTATGGATGATGCTCTGTGCTGATTGGTTAGTATAGATGATGCTCTGGGCTGATTGGTTAGTATGGATGATGCTCTGTGCTGATTGGTTAGTATGAATGATACTATGATCCTATGAGGATGCTTGATTGGGTGTAGTAG